CTTCTAACTGTGCTAAGACACAAAAGAGACATGCACAAGAAGTGGAAAAAGGGAGAAATCACCAAAGAAGAATTCAAACAAATAGCCAACACCTGTAGGGAAACGGTCCGCAAGGCTAAAGCAAAAACGAGCTCAGACTTGCCAGGGACATTAAAAACAATAAAAAGGGCTTCTATTCTTATGTCAGTAGAAAAAGGAAAAACAAGGAGGCGATAGGACCTCTTCGAGGAGAAGATGGGGCAATGCTGACAGGGGATAGGGAAAAGGCAGAACTACTTAATGCCTTCTTTGCCTCGGTCTTCTCACAAAAAGAGAGTCTTCAACCTCAGCAAGATGGAGTGGATGAAGGATTGGAGGACATCCAACCCCAAATTGGGAAAGAAGTCGTCCAGGAATACCTGGCCGCTCTTAATGAGTTCAAGTCCCCAGGGCCAGATCAACTACACCCCAGAGTATTGAAGGAACTAGCGGAAGTCATTTCGAAACCATTGGCAACCATCTTTGAGAGTTCTTGGAGAACGGGAGAAGTTCCAGCAGATTGGAGGAGGGCCAATGTGGTCCCAATCTTCAAGAAGGGAAAAAAGGATGACCCAAACAAATACCGTCCGGTCAGCCTCACGTCGATACCGGGCAAGATTCTGGAAAAGATTGTTAAGGAAGCGGTCTGCAAACACTTAGAAACAAATGCAGTCATCGCTAATAGTCAACATGGATTTATCAAAAACAAATCATGCCAGACTAATCTGATCTCTTTCTTCGATAGAGCTACAAGCTGGGTAGATGCGGGGAATGCCGTGGATGTGGCGTACCTGGATTTCAGTAAGGCCTTCGACAAGGTCCCCCATGACCTTCTGGCAAGGAAACTAGTCCAATGTGGGCTAGGCAAAACTACGGTGAGGTGGATCTGTAATTGGTTAAGTGACGAACAGAGAGTGCTCACTAATGCTTCCTCTTCATCTTGGAAAGAAGTGACAAGTGGAGTGCCAGGGTTCCGTCCTGGGCCCGGTCCTGTTCAACATCTTTATTAACAACTTAGATGAAGGGCTAGAAGGCATGATCATCAAGTTTGCAGACGACACCAAATTGGGAGGGATAGCCAATAGTCCAGAGGACAGGAGCAGAATTCAAAACGATCTTGACAGATTAGAGAGATGGGCCAAACTAACAAAATGAAGTTCAACAGTGACAAATGCAAGATACTCCACTTTGGCAGAAAAAATGAAATGCAAAGATACAGAATGGGTGACGCCTGGCTCGAGAGCAGTACGTGTGAAAAAGATCTTGGAGTCCTCGTGGATAACAAGTTAAACATGAGCCAACAATGTGATGTGGCGGCAAAAAAAGCCAATGGGATTTTGGCCTGCATCAATAGGAGCATAGTGTCTAGATCTAGGGAAGTAATGCTACCCCTCTATTCTGCTTTGGTTAGACCACACTGGAATATTGTGTCCAATTCTGGGCACCACAATTCAAGAGAGATATTGACAAGCTGGAATGTGTCCAGAGGAGGGCGACTAAAATGATCAAGGGTCTGGAGAACAAGCCCTATGAGGAGCGGCTTAGGGAACTGGGCATGTTTAGCCTGAAGAAGAGAAGGCTGAGAGGAGATATGATAGCCATGTATAAATATGTGAGAGGAAGCCACAGGGAGGAGGGAGCAAGCTTGTTTTCTGCTTCCTTGGAGACTAGGACGCGGAACAATGGCTTCAAACTACAAGAGAGGAGATTCCATCTGAACATTAGGAAGAACTTCCTGACTGTGAGAGCCGCTCAGCAGTGGAACTCTCTGCCCCGGAGTGTGGTGGAGGCTCCTTCTTTGGAAGCTTTTAAACAGAGGCTGGATGGCCATCTGTCAGGGGTGATTTGAATGCAATATTCCTGCTTCTTGGCAGGGGGTTGGACTGGATGGCCCATGAGGTCTCTTCCAACTCTTTGATTCTATGATTCTATGGAACCCTGGACACTCTGACTGAAAATTCACAATACTGCTCCCTAAATTGCATGATCTAGGATTCGATAAAAATATTACCATGGCAGTTTTTTGTTTTCGTGTCAGGAATGACTTGAAAAACTGCAAGTCGCTTATGGTGTGAGAGAATTGGTCGTCTGGAAGGACATGACCCAGGGGATGCCCGGACGTTTTAATGTTTTACCATCCTTGTGGGAGGCTTCTCTCATGTCCCCGCATGGGGAGCTGGAGCTGACAGAGGGAGCTCATCTTCACTCTCCCCAGATTTGAACCTCTGACCTGTTGGTCTTCAGCCCTTCTGGCACAAGGGTTTAACCCATTGCACCGCCGGGGCTCCATGGCAGTTAAAATGGAATCATAGCACTAATACTGTGTCATGTTAAAGGGCCCCAGGAATGCCAAATGCCTCCTGCAGATACAGATATGTCTTAGCTAGTGTCCACACAATCAAAATAATGTGAACTCTCCACTCAGCTGCTGCAAGGAGTTCACATGATGCATGGCTTGATTTGCAGTGGAACTGCAGCCTCCAGCCATTACTCCCCAAAAGCAGAGTACGGGACTATCTTTGGAACTTTCTGGAAGCTCCAGGGTGATCCCACAGTTTTGGGATCAACCCCATCAGCTGTTCACAGCTGCACTACTGCCAGCAAGCAGCTTGCTGTGATGTCAAATTCTGGGTGGTATTGTGTCTATGATTGAGCCATGTGATCAGAAATGCGAGTTTCTTGGAATGAACTGATTGCTGGCACTGACCCTAATGCACTTCCACTCCATCCAACAGCATGCATCAGGATTGGACTGGATGGTCCTTGTAGTCTCTTCCAGCTCTATGACTCTATGATTAATGACCAAAGAACTCCAGGGATGCTCATGGAGCTGTACTGGAGCAGCTCCAGAGCAATTTACTGGAACGTTTATTTGGGACTTGTAGACCTTGCAAAAAGGTCTGCAGATCTGTGTATGAGGAAGCATGCACAGAGATACAACCCCTTATCCATGGATTAAATATCCATAGTTCCACATCCACATTGCAGTGCAATTGTATGCTATGTTTCTGCCCAAAATATAATCAAAATATAGGGTTTGTTATTATCCATTTCAGGTATCCACAGGGAGTAGAGGGCTTGTGTCTTGGAGAGGATTTACTATATTTATTAGACATGGTTCCAAAGTACTTAAAAAACTAGGAGGCGCTGGTGCTCTGCTTCTGAAGTGTTGCTCACGTTCTGTTGGTGAAATTTTCAGAACTCTAACATTATGTCATTATTATTTCGTTATTGATGATTTTTATGACAGAGCCAATTAGGAACTGCCATTTATAACAAAATTTTGAAAGTTTTGTTAGCATTCTGAAATTTTCACCACCAAAATTTTAGAAACACTTCAGAAGCAAAGCACCAGCGCCCCCTAGTTTTGTAAGTACCATGCCTACCCATGCCTCATATTTATATACCACCTTTCTCATCCTGGAGGGGGGGGGGGACAACTCAAGGTAGTTTACAACATATTAATGGCAAAAATTCAATGCCATATACATATACAAGGGTAAAAAATCGTAATAACTGAACACTAACATATAACTAGAAATTAAAATAATTAAAAATAATTAAAGATAAGATGTAAACAACATTTAGTATTCAGTTTCTACCTACAAAAAGTTTTTTTAATCGTATATTTTACCATTGTGATAACTGAAATAGATATGTGCAATCCTTCATATCCTCGCTTTTGTCAAGGTGATCCAGCCCTCTGGTCTAATTCATTCTTTTCCTGTCATGCTTCCTTTGGAAGATTTCAGTATTTTAGACTCTCTTTAATGCCTTAGAGCTAAAGCAGTATGTTTCTCTCCTTCAAAACATCAAGTCCCATTCCTATGCTTAAAACTCAAGCATAGGAAACTTCCAAGAACACCTTTCCAGTCCTTCTCTCCTTCTTCCAAAACTTGCTTCTTCAATGGCAGTTGAAATGGACTATAATAGTGGTGAGGGTTCTGATTGCCATGCTTTAGTGCAAAGGCTCTAAAGCAGGGGTTCTCAACCTGTGGGTCCCCAAATGTTTTGGCCTTCAAGTCCCAGAAATCCTAACTGCTGGCAAACTGGCTGGGATTTCTGAGAGTTGTAGGCCAAAACACCTGGGGACCCACAGGCTGAGAACCACTGCTCTAAAGAAAGGATTTTGAAAACTATAGAAGCATAAAGGAAGAGAAAGAAAAGAAAAGAAAGTGTTTAGAACAAGGACAGTAGGAAGATGGAACTATTTCATTCTTTCCTACTTATTCCCCCTCCAATAGAGACACAAATCTTTGTGAATTTTATTCTTGTAAGCAAGGCAAGACAAGTCATTTTACAATGTTGATCTTAGTTGTGAGGAAGCTGGTGAAAACTGCAGCTTGCAAAGACAATTCATGATTTAGGGCTTAGTCTATGCAACAAAAAAACACATGGGTGAATTTTTCATGTAGTAAACATTCTCTTCATAGAAATGCTATTTTCTGCTCTTAAAAATACATATGCATTTTTCATGCAGAATAAGGTCCTCAGTGGCACAATGGGTTAAACCCTTGTGCCGACTGAACTGCTGACCTAAAAGTCAGTGGTTCAAATCCGGGGAGCAGGGTGAGCTCCCGTTTGTCCGCTCCAGCTTCCCATGTGGGGACATGAGAGAAGCCTCCCACAGGATGGTAAAACACCCGGGTATCCCCTGGGCAATGTCCCTGCAGGCAGCCAATTTTCTCACACTAGAAGCAGTTTCTCAAGTCGCTCCTGACACACACAAAAAGTCCTCAACTGGGAAGGTCCTCCTCTATCAAGGATTCTTCTTATCTGTATTTCCCAATATTCCAGCAACTTGCTTTTGACTGTTTTTCAAGTATGTTTAAATATTCTTTCCATCCCTATCCCTATCAATTTTCTAATTTTTGCATTATAAAAAAAGCATCTGACTAGGGAAGCAGCAATGAGGAGCAAATTCCCAGTCTGGAACGTCCCTCTGAGAAACACATTTACAAATGAACTTTCAGTTGACTTACTTCATTCTGTGAAGCAGATGCACAGACGTTGTGTGTTTTCTGATTCCCTGTGTCTGTCTGTTTTTCTCCCCAGCCATATAAAGCAAATGGGTGCCTCAACTCCTTTGTTGTTTCTGTTCTCTGAGGACTTTTTGCCCGCCTTCTGTCACCTCGGGCACCCACAGCACTACGACTTGCAGGTGGCTCTTGCTGTTGCCCTTTGGGTTTGTCCGTTCTTTTTGCTGCAGATTTCTTGTCTGCTTCAGTTTTCTCTTGCTCTTCTTCTTCTGGAAGAAAACCCAGAAACTCATTTAGGATTGCTATGTCAAATATATTCACTACCAATGAAACTAACTACATCAAGCTAAATCCTTTCACTTTATCTACACCAGGATAGGCACAACATACCGTATATACTCAAGTATAATCCGACTCTAATATAAGCTGAGACACCTAATTTTACCACAAAAAACTGGGAAAACATATTGACTCGAGTATAAGCCGAGAGTGGGAAATGTAGCAGCTATGGGTAAATTTCAAAATAAAAATAGATAGCACTAAAATTACATTAATTGAGGTATCAATAGGTAAAATGTTTTTTGAATATTTACATAAAACTGCAATTTAAGATAAGACTGTCCAACTCTAATTAAACCATTATTCTAATCTTCTTCAGTGAAAATGTACTTACATATCCTTCCAGTAATAATAGAGTAAAATAATAAATGTAATAATAACAGTAATAATAGAGTAAAATAATAAATGTAATAATAATAGAGTAAAATAATAAAAATAAAGAGTAAAATAATGTAATAAAATAATAATAGAGTAAAATAACATAAAGATAACAACAACAGAGTAAAATAATAAATAACTTTGACTCAAGTATAAGCAGAGGGGGACTTTTTCATCCCCAAAAAGCTGAAAAACGAGGCTTATATTTGAGTATATACAGCAATTTACTGTGCAATGTTTCAATTCCAAATAATTTGACAACAGTGTGACAAAATTATTTTTCTGAAAGTACAAAGTTGCCAGGGTGGGAAGGATACTGAGGCGTGGATATCTGTACGGAAGAAATTTGACTTCTGTTCACTTTTTATTCTCAAATTCGAGTGTACATAATTATTTAATTTCAAGTGTTTTGCTCCAGATGATAGATTTCAAGGATCCAGTAAAAAACAGAACAGAACCTTCAGACCTAAAATCCTCCTAGCTTTGATCCATCCTGTAACTCAGTGATAGCAATGACATGACCCACCAAAAATGGTTGAATTAAAATCTGAATCCTCCCTACACGGCAAAGCCCATGGACGGGATGCCAGTTTCAACCCAACATCCTCAGGAGAACAACATGATTTCCACCCTAAAACAAATAAATCTTTAGCAGGGCATCTAAATACCAACTGTGGATAAACTGCGTACCTTTATTACAAAGACCACAGATAAGACTGTGAAACTAGATTGTTGATACAAAGGCTGTCTGCCAGTGAACAGAGTTGTATACTATTACAGCAAGGAGTAACACATCTCACTACACAATCATGTGTGATAACAAGATGCTATTCTGTAAAGGAGCACAACTCTCCAGAGCCACCAATTCAGCTGACACAGCAGGGTGATCTGGGGGTGCATTACTGCTTCCTATGTCTAACGTGCAATACTCTGTTCTATTGAAACCACCTCTTTTTTTCCCCTCGGCTGAATAAAAAGCTTATGCAATTTTTAAGATTCATGATACCATAGCAACAGCTTATATAAGCCGCTATGTAGCAGTATGAGAATCACCGACATAATTAAAGAGCTCTCTGTATATGCCAAATTCACTGCAAGCATATGGTGCTACTGCCTGTCACTGCTCATCACTGGAAAACAGAAGCAGCTCCATGGACCATGGATATGGAAACACAGACTCCACCCTGTGATGGTTTTTCCATATTGGAAGGAAGCAGAAAAATCTGAAGCGGACTATCCACAGTGGTTGTGGGGAAAGCAATCTGTCTGAAATCTATTTTTATCAATCAATTAATTTATATCCTAAAAGGTAAAGGTTTCCCCTTGACATGAAGTCTAGTCGTGTCCAACTCTAGGGAGTGGTGCTCATCTCCATTTCTAGGTCACAGTGACAGTGTTGTCCGTAGATGCCTCCTAGGTCATGTAGCTGGCATGACTGTATGGAGCGCCATTACTGAAGCAGTACCTACTAATCTACTGAAGCAGTACCTACTAATCTACTCACATTTGCATGTTTTCGAACTGCTAGTTTGGCAGAAGCTGGGGCTAACTGTGGTAGCTCACCCTGCTCCCCAGATTCAAACCACCGACTTTCAGGTCAGCAAGTTCTGCAACTTAGCAGTTTGAAGCCCTGTGCCACCGTGGCCCACAAATTTATTTCCTACCTTTTTCCTAATATGGGATACAAAATGGGATAGGGGTCATTTAAGGACTGGATATCTTTCTTGAGCAAATGATCCCTTTTGCCTGCTACCTTTCAGTTAAATCAAGAGGAAACCCAAGATGGAAATGGCCAGTGCTATAAAATAACCTCCCCCACCCCCCAAAAGAAACACACAACCAGGAAAGGTCTTGCTTCCAAGGCTTGATTTTGACATCCACAAAAAGATTAAGGAGCACCTTAACAAGTTTAACTTTGTGAAAATATTTGTAACAAAATAACAAAATTTGTATACTGGCAACTTAGTGCTGCCATTCATATTCAGCTTTCACAGTACTGTTACTAATTAACATGAATCTTGATGGCAGCCAACATGGTAAAGAGCAGGCATGGGCAAATTTGGGCCCTCGAGGTGTTTTGGACTTCAATTCCCACAATTCCTAACAGCGTCAGGCCCCTTCCGTTCCTCCCTCAGGTGCTTAACAGCAGGAGCTCACCCCATCTGCAGATTCAAACTGCCAACCTTCTGATCAGCAAATTCTGCAGTTTAGCAGTTTAATCTGCTGCAGCCACTCCTGTCAGAACCTATCTTGTGCATAATTGGGGACTGTTTGTACAGGCAGGCTACCCAAGAATACAACATTTGGAGGCTGATGAAACGAACAGTAACTGGGTTGTAAGTGCTGTGCCTGGTATGTTTTCCTATCAGCAAGTAAGAAGATGGAGAAAAGTCACCATATCCATTAACAAAAACCCTCTATGCCAGTGGTTCTCAACCTGTGGGTCCCCAGATATTTTGCCTTTCAACTCCCAGAAATCCTAACAGCTGGTAAACTGGCTGAGATTTCTGGGAGTTGGAGGCCAAAACACCTGGGGACACACAGGTTGAGAACCACTGCTCTGTGGGGTACAAAGATGCTTCCAGATGTTGTTTGTAGTCCACACAGTATCTTTGGCAGTGAGAAAGATGATGGGGCCTGCTGTCCATCGCCTATGTACTACATAGTATACTCATTTGAATGTTGGGCCGGGTCACTGGAAGGTCTGAGTTGAAATCCTTGCTCAGACTTGACAACTGACTGGGTGACCCTGGGCAAGTCATACTCTCTCAACCTCAGAGAAAGGCAATGGCAACTTTCTTCTGAACACATATTTCCAAGAAAAACTTTTGCCTGAAGATTGCCATAAGTCAGAAACAGCAACAGTGATCATTGCTAGCCTGATGCTGGGGTTTGTGTGTTGGACTACCACACTGGGAGACTTTCCTCAGCCCTGAAAACCCAGTAGGCGACTTTGGGCAGGTCACACTGTCTCAGGAGACACAAGGTCAATCGCTCTCGGAACAAATTCTATCCAAAAATGCATTTGAAGATACATAACAACAAAACACCTGGAAGCTCCCCAAGGAGTTTAGCCATGCCTCCACACTGTCCTCTTTTCATGGGGATTTGTAAACCTGGATGTTCCAGAATATTTTTGAGAATGACTAGTTTGAGGTCCAGTTCACAGGTAGCCAGACAGCACTTTGTCCTGCAAAGTGTCGCGAGGGGGGGGGGGGTCGCAAGGAGGTGTCAGAGGGGTCGTCAGAAAACACAGTATTTTCTGTACGGCATGGGGGTTCTGTGTGGGAAGGTTGGGCCAATTATATCATTGGTTTAAAATGCTCTTTGATTGTAGGTGAACTATAAATCCCAGCAACTACAACTACCAAATATCAAGGTCTATTTCCCCCAAACTCCACCAGTGTTCACATTTGGGAAGTATTTGTGTCAATTTTGGTCCAGATCCATCACTGTTTGAGTCCACAGTGCTCTCTGGAGGTAGGTGAACTACAATTCCAAAACTCAAGATCAATGCCCACCATTGATCTTGAGTTTTGAAGTTATAACAGTATTTTCTGTTGGTCATGGGAGTTCTGTGTGCCAAGTTTGGTTCAATGATGTAATGCTCTGTATGGTTTCTGCCTGGCAATTGAATGTTTCCTTATATATTGGAAGCCACCTTGAATCTTTTTGGGGAGATAGGGCAGTAAACAAATTATTATTATCTCCAATTGCTCACCCAAATGTTTCTACAAGACCACTGCTGTCTCAGCCTTAAGGGGAAATAGATTGACCTCCAACAAATTACAGGAGAGGAGCTGAGGTTGCCCTGGGAGGAGCACACTTCCCCTTGACCTTCAGACACCAACCTTGCGTGCATCCACACTGTAGAATTAACACTTTGACAGCCATGGCTCAATGCTATGGAATCATGAGAGTTGTTGTTGTTGGGACACGGTCTCCTCTGTCTAGGGGCCTTTCCACACAACCCTATACCCTAGGAACAGGGGTCCTCAAACTTTTTAAACAGAGGGCCAAGTCACAGTCCCTCAAACTGTTGGAGGGCCAGATTATAATTTGAAAAAAAAACCCATGAATTCCTATGCACACTGCACATATCTTATTTGTAGTGCAAAAACACTTTAAACAATACAATAATTAAAACGAAGAATAATTTAAACAAATATAAAGTTATTAGTATTTCAATGGGAAGTGTGGGCCAGCTTTTGGCTGATGAGTAGGATTGTTGTTGTGTGCTTTCAAGTCGTTTCAGACTTAGGTTGACCCTGAGTGACCTTGGAGGGCCATATCTGGGGCCCGGGCCTTAGTTTGATGACCCCTGCCCTAGAATATCAAGGCAGAAAATCCCACAATATCTGCTTTGAACTGGGTTATGTGAGTCCACACTCAGACAATGTGGAATTTTCTGCCTTGATATTCTGGGATATAGAGCAGTGTGGAAGAGCCCAGAGTGCTGGAGTCTCATCAAACTACAACTCCCAGGATTCCATAGCACTGAACTGCGGCAGCTAGTGGAGACAAAATGCATTCATTCCACAGCGTAGATCAAGCTTGGACAAAGTTAGGCCCTTGAAAAGTTTTGGACTGCAACTACCAACATTCCTAACAGCCTGAGGCCCTTTCCTTTTCCTCTAAAATGGCTGAGGGGGAAAAAGGAAGGAGACCTGGGGCTGTTAGGAATGATGGGAGTTGCAGTCCAAAACACCTGGAGGACCTAACTTTTCTCGGGCCTGGTCTAGAGAGATAAAAGTAGCCTGAATCCCCCTCCCATGCATCAAAGGAAGGAGTCTGAGGCTGAGGAATGATGGGAGTTGGAGTCCAAAACACCCGGAGGACCCAACTTTGCTCGGGCCTGGTCTAGAGAGATAGAACTAGCCTGGATCCCCCTCCCATGCACCAAGGGAAGGGGCCTGAGGCTGTTAGGAATGGTGGGAGTTGGAGTCCAAAACACCTGGAGGGCCCAACTTTGTCCGAGCCATGTCTAGAGAGATAGAACTAGCCTGGATCCCCCTCCCACGCACCAAAGGAAGGAGCCTGAGGCTGAGGAATGGTGGGAGTTGGAGTCCAAACACCTGGAGGACCCAACTTTGCTCGGGCCTGGTCTAGAGAGATAGAACTAGCTTGGATCCCCCTCCCACGCACCAAAGGAAGGAGCCTGAAGCTGAGGAATGGTGGGAGTTGGAGTCCAAAACACCTGGAGGGCCCAACTTTGCCCAGGTGTGGTGTAGATGCAGCAGGAGAGCCCCTTCTGCCTCTCTCTGTCTGTCTGTCTGTCTGTCTGTCTCTCTCTGTGTCCCAGCAGCTGGGATTATTTCTGATGGCAGAGCAGAGGCAGCTTCCCCGCCACACACTCACTCACGCATTAAAGTCGGATTAAAGCCGGTGATCCGGCGGCGACCGGCTGCAATGCAAAGGAGGGAGAGGGAACATGGAGCAGGAGCCTTCCCTCCCTTCGCTTTGAGCGTCTCCAGTGCGGAATTGATGCATTTTGACACCACTTTGGCTGCCGAGAGGCTCAATGCTATGGAACCCTGGGGAAACCACAGCAGTTCAAGTGAGGCCACTTCCAAGGCGTGGATGCGCCCAAGGTCATTCCTTCCTTCCTTCGCAGGCACCTACCGGGCTCTTCTCGCAGGGGCAGCTCAGGGGCAGCGTTCCCCTCCTCCTCCTCCTCCGGCCCTTCCTCTCCCTGCAATGGCGGGGCTGCAATGGGCGAGGGCGCGCTCCCGTTGCTGCTGCTGCTGCTGCCTCGGCTGCTGCTGCTTCCTCCTCCTCCTCCTCCTCCTCCTCCTCCTCCGCTGTCGGGCTCCCACCCGTCCCAGAACCAGGGCCGGTGCGCCTGTTCTAAGAGGCGGCGGCTGAGCCGGTAACGCAGCAGCTCCTGGTAGCAGGGGCCGCACGCCTCCCACTTGGGCTCCTTGAAGCGCTTCATGTACTCGCTCTTCACGCACCGCGAGGGCACCATCGTACACCCGGGCTGTCCGTCCACACGACACACTGACGTCGGTTTTCCCCCTCCTTCCCAAATGACCTCCTCTTCGCCCCACCCTCCCGCTGGAACGTTTGAACACAAACAGCGCCCGGCCGCGTCCGCCTCCGCGCGCCTTAGCCAATCAGCGCGCGAGTTGCGGGCCCTGGGAGGTACGTCATAAAGGAGCCTGCCAGGCGCTTTAAAAACAAAACCAGCTGAAGGAGGAGTGTGGGAGCGGGACCCAGGCTGTTTATATCAGGCATGGGCGAATTTTGGGCCTCCAAGTGTTGTGGACTTCGACTTCCACCATTCCTAACAGCCTCAGGCCCTTTCCTTTTCCCTCTCAGCCTCTTGAGCGAAGGGCCCGAGGCTGTTAGGAATGATCAAGGGTCTGGGGAACAAGCCCTATGAGGAGCGGCTTAAAGAGCTAGGCATGTTTGGTCTGAAGAAGAGAAGGCTGAGATGAGACATGATAGCCATGTGAGGGGAAGGTCATAGGGAGGAGGGAGTAAGCTTGTTTTCTGCTGCCTTGGAAACTAGGACGCGGAACAATAGATTCAAACTACAAGAAAGGAGATTCCACCTGAACATAAGGAAGAACTTCCTGACTGTGAGGGCTGTTCAGCAATGGAAATCTCTGCTCCAAAGTGTAGTGGAGGCTCCTTCTTTGGAGGCTTTTAAACAGAGACTGGATGGCCATCTGTCAGGGGTGCTTTGAATGCAATCTTCCTGCTTCTTGGCCGGGGGTTGGACAGGGTGACCAATGAGGTCTCTTCTAGTTTTATGATTCTAGGAATGGTGGGAGTTGAAGTCCAAAACACCTGACATGGAAGTCCAGTAGTGTCTGACACTGGGGGTTGGTGCTCATCTCCATTTCTAAGCGGAAGAGCCAGCGTTATCAGTAGACACCTCCAAGGTCATATGGCATGATTGTATGGAGAGCCATTACCTTCCCACAGAAGTGGTACCTAGTGATCTACTCACATTTGCATGTTTTCAAACTGCTAGGTTGACCAAAGCTGGGGCTAATAGTAGGGGCTCACCTTGCTCCCTAGATTCAAACCACCCACCTTTCAGTCAGCAAGTTCAGCAGCTCAGCAGTTACACCCACTGTGCCACCGCGGGCTCCCTAGCCTGCTGTGTACCATACAATTAATGCAGTATCCACAGGAGTCCTGGAACCAAATCTCACTGGATACCAAGTGAGACATACATATACACACACGAAGGAAAAGAAGGAATAAAAAAAGACTATAACACAGTTGGGTTGCTGTGAGTTTTCTGGGCTCTATGGCCATGTTCCAGAAGCATTCTCTCCTGTCATTTTGCCCACAACAATCAAAAACAGGAATTCCAGACAAGAAACAATCAGAGCCAGCTAATCACTTCCCAATAAAGGATTCTCCCAGGCAGGAAGCAGCCATACCTTGAAACTGCACAGCCATTAAATGCTAATCAAGGTGGCCAATTGCAACATTCACACCTGCTTCAAACAGACAAGAGCTCTTTCTCCCACCCTGGAATTTCCACAGATATATAAACTCCACTTGCTTAGTTTCCAACAGACCTCACAACCTCTGAGGATGTATGCCACTGATGTGGGCAAAATGTCAGGAGAGAATGCTTCTGGAACATGGCCATACAGGCTGGAAAACTCACAGCAACCTGGCCTGAGGCTGTTAGGAATGGTGGGAGTTGAACTTCAAAACACCTGGAGGGCCCAAGATTACCCAGACCTACTCTATACCATATTATCTACAGCAGTATCTACAGGAGTCTTGCAACCAAATCTCACTGGATACCAAAGACTCTCTATATGCATACATGAAGGAAAGGAAGGAATAGTAATTTAAAAACTGTACAAACACAACTGTAAAATAAATGTTCCAGATAACATGCAATATAAGTCATATAAAGCAAACTGACCAAATACATGTAATCAAAATGTGAAAGATTACCAAATATTATTGAACTAAAAGTCCCCAAAGCCTTGGAAAACAGGTTAAAAATACTGAGAGAAGGAGCAGTCTGCAAATGTTTGGAGGGGCAATTCCAAGAATAGAAAGAAAACCTACACGGCTGATTCTTCCTTTCTGCAGTGCTTTTAGTCACCAGATTGTACCACCCACCCACCAGCCCAGCTGTTGCCATGCAAGACTCCCCAGATGGGGATCACGTGTGATCACACGCTGTGTGTGCTTTGTTGGATTTTAGGCTGATGGAAACAGCTCGCTTTTTGAGCCAAATTCATTGTGTCAGCAATTATTGGGGGAAGGGGGAGCCTAGGAACTGGAGGCATCAGAGGCCGGTTGATATATTGCTTCAGGGCCACATAGTATTTGTCAGCAGAGTTCAGTCCCACTTCCCCTGTCCTGGTTGAGCATACCTTATCTGAAATGCTTGGGATAAGAAGTGTTTCGGATCTGGGTTTCTCCCCCCCCCCCCCCAGATTTTGAAATACCTGTATTTTTATATATGTATATAAGAGATAGCTTGGAGATCTAGATTCATTTATATTTTGTATACAGCTGAAGATAATTCCATGTAATATTTTAAATAATAAAATAAAGTTTGTTTACATTTGAAGCAGCAGAAAGCAAAGATGTCACTATCTCAGTCACCCATGTAGACAATTTTGGAGGGTTTTTTTGTTTGTTTTTTTTTGGAAAATGGAAATCTCCATAACGTTTTGGAGATTTTATGATCTTTATAAAGGCATGACCTTGTTAGAAGTCATAACTTTTTGAAAAATCATGCCATAACCTCTTGATAAAAAGTGTGGCCTTTGATAGTCATAAACTTTAGGGGAAAATGGCATGCATGCAAGGCAATTAGGTTTCTCCACTGTTAAACTGATATCCTAAATATGTCTTTGAACTATTAGGGACAAAGATATGGCAATGCAGAAATCCTTAAAATCCTTAAAAGTAACGTAGTTGTTTTACTCACAAACTTCAGGTATTCAGCATAAGGTACTTTGCATATCAATCCAGTTACAAATAGGATTTGAAGTAGTTTCTCTGTGTAGGTAACACAGGGGATCAGTTCTTCTCTAATCAACAGTCCAAGACCAAAGCATGATTGCGGATTTGTGTGGTTTATAATGATAATAATGTTTATAATGCTTTGATGTATTTAATGATGGTTTTTAATTTTAACTCAAATGTATTTTAATTGTATACAGTGGTTAAGGGATTTAATTTTTGCCTATCTTTAAGCCGCCCTGAGTGCCCTTCGGGGTAGAGAAAGGTGGGATATAAATATCGTAAGTTAATTAATTAATTAATTAATAGAGTCTCTGTTTAGTCTGAAAGTCCAATGGAGTCTCTAAGCATACTATTCCTTCTGAAGTCTAAAGTATACTGTTCCTGCTGTCTTCTTAAAAGCATACTACTGAAGTCTCTACATGGAATGTCTAATGATTTCTGAACTGTACTGTTCCTAAAACAGAGTCTGAGTCCTGAACAAGCCCAGTTTTGATCACATGATCTGCAGCCCCCCACACAACAAAAGAGTTAAAGAAAAACTGCAAACCAATATACACATTTAAAATACAGTAAGCAATATGAATTATATTCACAAGTAACTAGTGGAGATTTGAAGAAGGTTGCTATTTCCAACAATTTTAGATTTTGACATTATAGGTAAGGGATTCTCAGCTTGTACTGGATAGAAATTAGGGTTGCCAGGTATCCCTTATTATAAGGGATTACCATTATTTTCAAGCTGCCAGGTGGCCCTTTTTACATGTTCATCTAAGAGCAAATCCCGAATGGCAGCTCTTTTCCATTCACAAGTTGATATTAAGCAGCAGCATTTCCATGGGAACAGTTTGAAGAAAATTAGTACTTTGTTCCTTTCTCCTCTTCTAGTGACATGTAATTAGTTCACCTTTCCATGTATTCTTCTCTTCTTCCTAGTAATGTCAGCCCAATATCTATTATGTTTGATATGTATATTTTATATTTGTGTATATTATATTTTATACTTTCAAATATTCAACACAGGGAGAATATTTTGAAAATATTTTTAAAATTTTGTAATGAATTTCTTCTAAAGAAAGGTACATTTAGCTACAATTTCCCATTTCCCCTATGTGCAGTGAATTTTGGGTACTAATGTCAAGGTTTTGTGTGAGGACTCCAATAGGATTAAAATGGGTGTTTTTGACTGGCCAGGCTGTTACTTATACTTTTAATATAAGGTTATGAACGCCAAAAGATAAGACTATGTAACACAGTTTTTGTTCCTGGATTATAAATGTCCTTTCCTGATAATTTCTATCATAAAAACATGGGGAAAGTTTATTAAACTGCAAAACCTTTTTTTCACTGGGACCTGCAGTATATTTTTCTATAGTTTTTCAATGAATATCTCATATAGAGTCTCAACTAATTCAACATTGTTTGTGACAGGCAGAAAAACAAAGTTTCTAGACTATAACAACTACTTTCAAAGTAAGGACCGTACAATTAAACAGAAAATAACATTTTCAACCCAGAAACAGATTTGTCTCTAAATTTTGTTACATAGTGTAATAGTAGTAATTTTTGTTTTCTATTTCTCACTTATTTGTTTTTAGAAATACCTTGTTTTGATTCAAACCAGTATTGGCAACTGCGTGAAATCCTGGCTGACATTTTGTTCATGATGTTCACATGCATAAATTGTGCTATACCATCAAAGCAAATTATTTACCATAGCACAACAGACATATTGTACTAATTGAGGCAGAAATGGGGTTGCGTATACATCAGTGTTGCATATTGTAGTAGTATGTCTGGTACTGTGGTCATGCGTTGTTCAGTGTGCATTGCACAGCAGCATGCAGTCATTAACAAGTGGTGTGCAGTGTTGCTACTCTGCATGGGATTATGTAGCGCTAGTTTAGCATATCTCTGTATACAAATATTTGGACTATGTGAGATGATGTTGGACTGCCTCCTCCTTTTGTTATGTTCAAGTCAGCTCTAATTTACCCTTCCCCAAAGGAATTTGATATTCTGGGTTATATGGCGCTTCCACACAGCCATATAACCCAGAATATCAAGTCAAATAATTCACAATATCTGCTTTGAACTGAGTTATCTGGGGGCCCTTCCACACAGC